CCGGACCCCCTGGCTCACCTTGACGCCCTTGTGCCCAGTAACAACAGGCTTGCCGGCACGCTGAGCTTGGACTTTGGTGTGGCATGGCAGGCGATGGAGGTCCTATCACTGTCCAACAACGGGTTTGGGGGGCCGCTGCCCAGAGAGTGGACCGGGATGGGCAGGCTCAAGACACTGTACCTCTTGTGAGTCAATTTTGTCCGTTGGTGCACAAAATGTTGCATTTCTCGAACAATTAACTTGGAGTCCTTTTCTTGTTTAGAGAGGACAGGGAGGGCGGAGGCGTGGTTGTGGGGCGGCTCAGCCGCTTGTGTGCGTGCGTGCCAATCCTCGTTTCCTGGATTCGTCCGGGTCCAACAGCCTGCGTAGTTTGTGCCTCACACACAGACGCAGACATGCGCGCGCGCGCGCGCACGCGCACGCACACACGCACACACATACACACACACACACACACACACACACACGAACACATACACACACACTATCTCTCTCTCTTAAACCCTTACCCTGATGACCTTCCTTGCCTTTTGCTGCCCAGCAACAACAGGCTCTCCGGTACTCTGAGCCCCGAATTTGGTGTGGCCTGGCAGGCAATGGAGGAGCTGGCGCTGAACACCAACGCCTTCACAGGGCCGCTGCCCAACCAGTGGGCCGCGATGGGCAAGCTCAAGAAGCTGTACATTTCGTGAGAGGGTTTTGGTTTGTAGGAGAGCTGTCGCTGTTCTTCCCACATAGGTTTTGCAGGCTGTTTTGCGGCGATACCATCATGGTCGGCTGCGTGTTGAAGCCAACGGTCCTGAGAACCAAGGCCCAGCACAGCCCTGCTCTGATGATAAAGTGACGCCCTGGCCGGGCTGGTGCAGGGGCGGCGCAGAGGCTTGGCGCCTGGCGCAAGCCATTCGTCCCCCCGATAGTGTCTGCAGGCTTGACAGCCTGCATAGTCCTAACTGCCTGCGCAGACTGTCACCCTTTCACGCGTGCGCGCACACGCGCACGCGCGCGCGCACGTGCACACACACACACACACACACACACACACACACACAACTCTTCCCTCGCATCATTCCCGCCTGACAGTAAAAACAGGCTCACTGGCACGCTGAGCCCCGACTTCGGCTCCACCTGGCCGTTGATCGAATTGCTGGACATGGGCACCAACAGCTTTTCAGGGCCGCTGCCGGGGTCCTGGGGCTCCTTCAAGGCGCTGGCAACCCTTGACCTGAGCAACAACCAACTCCAGGGCGGCATCCCATTCTTCTGGGGCACGCTGGGCGTGACGCGGCTGTCGCAGCTATCTCTGTTCAATAACTTCCGACTGGTGGGCTGCCTGCCGCGGGGCCTCGAGAGGTTTGTAGGAACCAACGCCGTCTGCCAGGGTACAAGCCTGACGTGTTCCGTCTGCTGATGCCCTCTGCTGACGCGCCCTGCCTACCTGCTCCCGTTTGGCGATGATTGCGTGCGTACGTGCTGTATCCGTCGCACCCCCCGCTCGCACTGCACAAACACTTTCATGCTGGTGGTGTCTCGAGAGTCATGCCGCACAGCGGCACAGCTTTGATCGTGACCCCCATGCACAAGCCGCTGCCTGGGCGGGGCCTGATGCGCGTCTGTATCGCACTGTCGCGCATGCGCGGCTGCGTGCCGCCAACATTCGGGACGCGGTCCCCAACTCCGCTGTTAGCCGGCAGGCTCCCAAGCAAGGCCTGCCAGCGTAGCTGCCACCCACGGAGGTCGCGGCTAAGCCACTGCGCTTTACCAGTGCTGAGGTGGCAGTCACATTAATTGTATGTCTCACCTGTTGACGCAGCCGAGACTGGCCTGCTGCCCTATTCCCACCTTGGGCGGGTGTGCCATCATGCCGTGCCGAGACCCCTGCCCTGCCCCTTTGGCATTGCCTTGGTAAAACCGACCTGATTACGCCTTTACCGACCTGATTACGCCCCCCTTGCCTGATGTTCCAAGTCCCCCCTTGCGTCACCCGAGTTGTGCTCTTGATTGGCTTACTTTTGGATCTGGGGTTGTGGCTTCAGCTCTGGGAATTATAGGCTGCAGCGGTGTCTGTAATACTTGTGTTGCCCGTGTCAGACTCGTTCGGCCACGTAAGGTCAGTGATATCCAGGCAGCCTGCAGATGAGCTCCTGTCAACCCATGCTACACCTACAGGCCCCCAAAGCGTTCCTACATCAAGTAAGGTCTCATTGTGAGGGTATCAGCACGCAACAGTTATTTACTGAGCAACGACGACGAGGGCGCGGCAGGCGCAGCGATTTGCGCCCCCCCCCCTCCCCCCCCCCAAAGGACTGGGCACATGTAGAGCCAGCCAGTGGAGCCATCTACGCCAGCAGGTGCTGCAGCTTGCCTTTCAGCGCTATGAAACACCTTCCTGGTAATGTTAAGTCGGAGGGATTATGCCGTGAAGTGCAGTTGGGCTGCTCACTTATCAGGGGATGGCGCGCACAGGCAGCAGTCAGCAGTAAGGGCACTTGCATCCGCAGGGATTTGAGCTGCAAGATGGCCGATATTTCCGCCAGTCCAGGTGACCTTGGTACTTGGTCCGCCTGAAACGGGCGGCATGTTGGGCACAATCAGAGTTTGGGGCAGCTGGCCTGGTGTGTACTGACACAGCAATCCAGTGACGCTGACAATGAGAGCACGCATTCTCCGAGCTCAAGCGACGATACTGTCACGCGGGTTCGCAGCAGCACGATGTTTTATTTCGTAACTGTTGAACGCAGGGAGCATGCGCGAGCGAACGTATCCTGAGATCTACAGCATTACGGCCTGGCTGTCAGGGCGGACGTTATGAACATGTTTTTTTGTGATGGACCGGGTGCTGGAAACAATTATCAGCTTGTCTGCTCCCTTCGGTCGCAGTCTTGCGCCGGCAAGTAAGGGCAAGCAAGCTGCGCATGCTGCGGTGCGCGGCGCTCAATCTCGATCAGCCCATGTATGTCATGCGGTCAGCATGGGGCGACGAAACAGCAGCATAGAGCTTGATCAGACGCAAAGCGCCACCCAGCATGAGGCCGGGACGCTGCGGCCGCCAACTAAGCAGGCGGCGCGCCGAGCGACGGGCGCGGCGGTCGGCTGCCATGGCTCGCAGGTGTGTGGTGCCAGGCCGCCCTACATGTCCGGGCAACGGGCACACGATGCATTTGCGGGTCTGCGCGGGCCCTGGTCGGCCTTGGTTGCTGCTTGAGGCCTTGCTCGAGCTTGAGCCGTCGTTTGCCGGCTTTGTGGTGATGACAGCGCGGGTGCAGCGGGGGGGTGGCCGAAGCCGCTTCCTGCGCTCAACACACCATAGGCTGTGGTACACATTGTTCATTTATCTTGGAGTAAGCCCGCCAGCATTGCAGCGCTGCGGGTGCTGCAGCAGAGGCGCTTTCCTTGCTGCCACCGCGTCCACGGCTCGCCGCCGCTGCGGTCGCCGTGCGTGCCGCCCCGCGCTCTCCAGGAGGCGCGCCGCAAGGCACACAGCTGCCTAGACGCGACCTTCGACCAGGTACGCCAGGCCGCCGCCGCCTACTCTGTGGCCGCGGCGGCGGCTGCGGTGGCGGCGGGCGCATGGCAGTTCGAGGCGGAGGGGGCACGGGACGTGCATCTGGTGGGGCCGGGCCGGCGCTGGGCTGGCGGAGGAGCAGGACAGAGGGGAGGTGCTGCGGGCTGCTGTGGGCGCGGGTGACACACACTATAACGAACACAGACCCACATGCAGACACGCATAAAAACCACACACGCGCACACACATGTCCATTGCGGCTGGCGTCGGTAGCAGCCGCTGCGGTGCCGGTGATGTCCGAGGAGTCGTCCATACACGTCCTGAAAGACCAGGGGGGGGGCACTGGCGGTGGCGTTGATGGCGGCGAGGCGGCAAGGTCGGCGGGGCCCACCTGCGCCGGCTGGCGGCCAATTATGGACGTGCGTGCGGCCGCGGTTGGCGCTGGTACAGTAGTGGCGGGGCTGCTGGCAGGAGGCGGATCGCTGCGTCTCCGGCGCCTTGCTGGCTGGCGGGTGGATGATGGTCTGCAAACTCTGGAAGGGCCATGCAGCGACATCGCCAGTGATGACTTGCAAGGTCATCATTTTCTCCTATAGCAGCATGCGGGCAGCAGGTTGGTGAGGGCAAGGTCAAGCAGGGTTCATGCTCGCCTGATCGATCCGGCTGCTAAGGATGGCAGTCATGACTGGATTCTGGATGACAACCTGCGTGGCTGCACCTGGCAACGTCTGCTGCAGCGCCCGGCTGGGCTTGGTGGCGCTGTGCATTGGATTGGCTTGGCACTAGGGCATGCAGGCTCAGCATGTTGTCGGCCCGGTGGCCGCGCCGCTTGTGGAGGATATAGGAGCTGGGATTGGAGAATTATCTACGTGTTTTTATGGCATTCAAAGCGCTCTCCTGTTCCGCCTGCCTGCCTGTGCTCGCGGAGCTGCCCTTGACTTGGCAATTTCGCCCCAAGACCCAGGCCCCTGCTTCATTCATTCATTCGTTCAATTCAAACAAGGTGAGACACGCGTGTTTTCCGCTTTTTATAACGCGGTTATCAGACAAGCCCTGACAAACCCGCTCGTGCACGGTTGTGGGTCCTTCGGGGGCAGCCACGAGCCTGTTCGGGCTGAAAACACGCACTTGCACGCATAACAGGCGCAGCAGCTCTCCTTGGTGCTAGCTAGCAGCCCCTGCGGCGCGGTGTCCCTGCCCGCGCACTGCGCACCTGCTGACGCGCGTCGCTGTCGCTGCGCGCCCTCCTCCTCCCCCACCCCTTCTCACGTTCAGCTCAAGACACCCTACCGAGCAACCTACTCACCACCGAGCCTGAAGTCACCAGCAATGGCGACCTTTACGCAGACAGCTGCGATGCGGAGCGCAAACGCGTGCAAGGAGGTGCGCCTATGCTGCGCCGTGGTGCTTCACGCGCGGCCAGCCGTTGTCAGCGACGGTCTCCGCATTCCCCCTGACGCGGAGGAACCGGGCAACCCTTTTTGTTGTTTTGCATATGCACCCCTTCATCCCTCTCTCTGCCCACGTGTGTGTGTTCCGGCGATGGCCACCATGCACCGACAGCACTCTCCTTGTCGCTTGGACGAGCGCTGCTTGACGCTCACATGCACCCCCCCCATCAATCTCGTGCCCCCTGCCCAGGCCATCAACGGCCCCTGGCCGACCATCATGTCCCACAAGGCGTGCAGCAAGGAGGGCGCGCAACCCCCGGTAAGGCCCATTGCCTTGACACCCATCAGAGCAGCGCGCGCGCGCGTGCCCATGTCCCTGGCAGGCTGGGCCTGCTGAGATCAGGGGTCGTGCGGGTTCCATCAAGGCTGCATTGATACTGCAGTTCCAGGCGTACTTAAAGCCGTGTGAATGCCCGCCTGTGTGTTGGTGGCGACAACCTCCCATCACGCGTCAACTGACGCCTACGTGGCGCCCACCCTCCCCCTGAACATCGGCAGGGCGCCATCGCCAGCGACACCGGCACGGAGGGCATGGCCGGCCTGAAGAGTGACACGGTGCGCGTCAATGCCAAGAGATGCAAGGGGCGGCGCTGTGCAGTCAGTGCTCTGATGCGCGCCGCCCAGGGCGGGCGACCCGTCGCCGCAGCCCTGTATCGCGTGCGTGAGGAAGCCACAGCGCGCACTTATTAGCCACCAGCTTGGCCGGCTGCTCACGTGCCCTGTGCTCCCCGCCTCATCAGCGCCCTTCTTTGCCCCACCTTTATTCCCGACCACAGCAACCCTGACGGTCACTTGCCCTCCTCCGTTGTTCCCCCTACTCGTGCCTCCGCAGCCGCCCAACGAGCCGCGCCCCTCCTACCTGGCTGTTGCCAACGGCACGGCCCCCAAGACCGTGGCCACCAACCCCAAGACCGTCCTCGGCAAGGCCAAGCCCAACGGGGACAACCCCACGGCGCAACCGCCTGCGGCCACGATGATGTCTCTTGGGACTGGCAACATGCGCCCGGGTGGCAACAAGGTGCGTGGGTGAGGGGCAGGTGTGCTTGAGTCTTGTTTCGGCCGCAAACTGTGAGTGCAGCTGATCGGCGGCGTGGGGGCTTGCGCGCGCCTGCAATTATCTTGCCAATGGACGCTTGTTGCAGCACCGACGCCTATGATTTGGCTTGTCGTCGCTCCTGCATCACGGCCCCATTCCCACCCTTCCTGGTCCCGCTACCGCCGCGCCCACAACTGCAGGCCGCGGCGGGCGGCACCAAGGCGCTGCCGTCCTGCACCGGCGACGCCCTTGGCAGCATCGACGAGGACAAGAACAGCACGGATGCCAAGGCGGCCGACGGCGAGCCCGAGGTGAGGTCGGCGGGTGTGCGTGTGCCGGCGATTGTGCAGAGTGACGTCTGTTGTCTCTTGCCCTAGTACCCCGCCCTGCTTGGTTCAGGGCTGCTTGATGCTGGCGTTTCTTGGTTGTGCCAGCCTTCCCTGGCTGCACCTCCAACCGCCAGCGCCCTCCCCTCGGTCTGACGCTTTCACGCAGGGCGGAGCCAAGGGCAAGGAGGGCGCAACGACCAAGGCGGCCGGGTCCTGCAAGGCGGGGCCAGGCAAGAAGACTGTGGAGAAGGCCGGGACGAAGGGCGGGGAGAAGCCTGTGGGGACGGGCAAGGGCGCCAAGGACGACGGGGAGGGGCCGGCCAAGAAGGATAGCGGCGCCAAGAGCAAGACCGACAAGAAGAGGGAGGCGAAGAGGCCCGCCAACAAGGTGCGCAGGCACACCTGTATGCTTGATCTGGTGTGCATGCTAAAACATTATGCACGTATTTATACATATGGACTCCTGAAACGCACACAGGTACCTCACCCCAGCCAGGCGCCCTTCTCATGACGGCACTCAATGTAACGCGCGTCCTTTACTGCCAACCGCGGCCCATTTCCCACGCCCTCGCGCAGACCACCTCGCGCGCCGCCAACGGTGCGGGCTCTGCCGCCAAGAGCAAGGACACGGCACCCGCCAGCAAGAACGCCGCAGGGGAGGTGCGTGTTGGCGGCAGCACAGGCCAGCAGGCTTGACAGGCTGCTTGCCCGGTCTCACTTTCAGTCCAAGGGCGTTTGGCCACGTTGGCATTCGCAGCAAGCACGAATGCGGTACTCAATATTCCAGCAGCATTGCGGCCAGTGTATCTGAGCAGACTCCCAAACGACAAGAATGATTGGGGACATCGTCTTGCGCCGCGGCCAATCACACCCTCGGTCGCCCCTCTCGACCGGCCGCACCCGCCCCAGGCGCCCGCCAACAGCACCTGCGCCGCCCAGGACGAGCCCGCTGCGCCCGCATTCAGCCTCAAGCCCGGCAGTGCGGGCGCGTGCCGCTTTGCCGGCGCCAGGAGGGTCGCGGCCGGCAAGCCCCGCCCCGACAAGGTGAGACGAGGAGAAAGTTGTCCTGTGCTGGTGGGCCGCTGCTGTGTTTTGCCATGGGCAAAGGGCTGGTGCTGCTGCCCCCCCCCCTGTAGCAGCTACTCTTGGTGTTGGACGGCACATGTTGAGTTTTATGCAGGTGTGGCAGCTGGGCGCGTAGTGTTTGCCTACATTGACGGCTCTCGCCATCCTCGCGCCCCAATCGCCTGCAGGGCGCCGCTGACAGGTGCGAGCACAAGGCGGGCCGTGGCAAGGGCGGCGACAAGGCATGCAAGAAGGCCGTGCCGGCCAGCAAGGCAGCCAAGGTGAGGGAGGTGGGGGTGTGGGTGGTGGTGTGTGCCGGCCATGGCTCGAACACTCCGGGCTGCAGCAAGGCGCGTGCCCAGCTGGTTGATCTTCCCCTCAGCTGCCCCCCACCTTTTCACACACAACCCCGCGTCCCGGCCCTCACCAACCAACATTGTGCTCAGGCCACGGCCCCCCTCACCAACGGCGCCCCCATTGTGGAAGCTGCTGCCGAGGACGAGGGGATGGCTGTCCAGGGGACCCTGGATGAGGTGCGCAGGCCGTTGGGGCCATTAACGGGCCGGACTGCAGTGCTTTGGGGCACGTGGTTTTGTGGCACTGGAATAGCTCAGCCGCTGCTGCGTGGTGATAGTGTGCCCTGAGCCTGGGGCCGTCGGCTCTGCCGCCGGCGGCTGTGGTGGCAACGACAGCAGTTTCCCTGGCCCCCTTGCGTTGCTGTGTGCTGCTATCACGCATCAACCACTCAAAACGCCGCCACCTCATTTCCTTTATTCAAATGCCTGCAGGTCGCGACGGCCTCCGTCGCGCCCGACCATGTGAGCGACAACACCGGCCCGGCCGACACGGCAGGCGAGAGCGCCACCATCAACGCCGACACAGAGCCCGCCACCGCCGCCGCCACCAACGCCGCCATCGACAACGAATGCTGCGAGGGCGCCGCCGCGGCGGCCCCCGAGGGCGAGGTGGCCCCAATCGACGACATCGGCAGCGGCGATGCCGCGGCCGAGGGGGGGAAGACAGCGCCCTGCTGCGGAGCGCCCGCCATCGATGGCCCCAGCTGTGATGCAGTGGACGGCGCCGGCAGCCGTGCCGACACCGCCACCGCTGAGCCAGCCTACGGCAACAGCTCCACCTGCCCCGACAGCTTCAAAGATGCAGCTCCCGCGAGCACCACCAGCTGCAGTGGCGGTGACGGCCCCGGCACGCCCGACTCCACCACTGACGCGCGCCGCTTG